GAAGGAGGTGATATTGAAGATCACGTATGCAGGTTTCAAAATTGCATAACTAATCTTCAGAAGGTCGAAGAAACTTACAAAGATGATGATATGGCTATCATCTTGCTGAGGTCTCTACCTTCGTCTTTCAAGCACTTTCGAACAACTCTAATGTTTGGAAAAGAGTCCCTGAAGCTTGAAGACGTGATTCAAGCTCTTCAGTCATATGCTAAACTAGATGATATAACTGAAAGCTCTCAAGGCCTTTATGCCAAAGGCAAGGAGAGGGGGCGGGAAAAGACAAAGGAAGAGAAAACAGGCAACAGAGGTAGGTCAAAATCCAAGAAGAAAAAGGAAAAGAAGGAAGGTTGCTTCGAATGTGGTTCAGCCGATCATTGGAAGAGGAACTGCAAGATTTGGAAAGAGAAGAAAGCCAAGAGGGAAGGAAGCTCGGGTTCAGCTAGTGCAGTCACCGAGCATGAGAGTGACGGGGAGCTTCTTTCAGTAACATCAGGCTCCAAGGCTTTCACAAATTGGATTTTGGATACCGGATGCACTTTTCATATGTGTGCAGTAAGAGAATGGTTCGATACTTACAAAGAAGTCAGCAGCGAGGAAGTTTTAATGGGGGACGATTCTTCATGTCCTGTAAAAGGAATCGGCACTGTTCAAATCAGAATGTTTGATGGGATGATAAGAGTTTTGGGGAACGTTAGATATGTCCCTAGACTAAGAAAGAATTTGATTTCCTGGGGTACTTTAGATGAGGCCGGCTATGGGTACGAATCTAAAAAGGGAAGACTCAGGGTAGCCAAAGGATCACTGGTGGTAATGCGGGGTGACCTACAACCCAATAAGCTGTATAAGTTAATTGGGACCACTATAGTTGGGGGAGCAGCTGTTTCTGTAAATCAAGGTATAGAAGACAAGACTGAACTCTGGCATCATAGGCTCGGGCACATAAGCCAGAAAGGGTTGCAAGAATTACACAAGGAAGGCCTGTTGGAAGGCGTGTCATCTTGCAAACTGGACTTTTGTGAATATTGTGTTCTTGGAAAGCAAAGGAAGGTATCATTCACGAGTAGCAGTGCAGATAACCGAAGCAAGGAGCAACTCAGCTATATTCACTCAGATGTTTGGGGCCCTGCACCAACCAAATCAAATGGTGGAGCTAGGTATTTTGTTACTTTCATGGATGATTTTTCTAGGAAGGTTTGGGTTTATTTCATGAAGCAGAAATCCGAGGTTTTTGCAAAGTTCAAGGAATGGAAAACAGAAACCGAGAATCAAACTGGAAGAAAGATCAAGTACCTGAGAAGTGACAATGGAGGTGAATATACAAGTAATGAGTTTACCGATTACTGCAAGCAAGAAGGCATCACAAGGCACTTCACAGTAAAGAAGAATCCCCAACAAAATGGAGCTGCTGAGAGGATGAACCGAACTCTCATGGAGAGAGAGAGGAGCATGCGATTTCATGCAGGATTGCCTGATAGTTTTTGGGCAGAAGCTGTTAATCATGCAAGTTATTTGATTAACAGATCACCATCTACAGTTCTCGGTTTTAAGAGTGCAGAAGAGGTATGGTCTGAGAAGTCGGTGGACTATTCCAAGCTCAGGGTATTCGGCTGCAGTGCTTATGCACATATTCCAAGCGATGAAAGGTCCAAGCTCAAACCAAAGTCTACACATTGCATATTCTTAGGTTTTGAGAAAGGAGTGAAGGGTTTCAAGCTTTAGGGTATCAACAACAGGAAAAAGGTTATCAGCCGAGATGTTGTCTTTGATGAGACAACCATGCCTCTGAATAAAGTCGAGAGCAGTAGGGAGAAGAAAGACGATGCTGAAATTGAAGCAACGAAGATTCCGTTAATCAGTTCAGACGAAGAAGCAGCTCAGGTGGAGCAAATTGAGCAAGATGCTGAATCTGATGGTTTTGAGGAAGAAGAAGAGCATCAGCATCGTTCACCAGTTAGGAATCAGGTGGAGCAAGAAATAGGGCAGATAGAAGGCACTATAATCCGCCAGACATCCCAAAGGGTTAGAACTCCAACCAACAATCCACCTGCATTCCAGAGATGCATAGCACTGGACAAACCTAATCGGAACAAGAAGAAACCTGACAGGTTTGGGTTTGACCAAGACGAAGTTAATTATGCTCTCAACATTAGTCAAGGAGATCCAACTACTTATCGAGAAGCTATAGCAAGTGATGAGCGAGATAGTTGGATAAGTGCTATGACAGAAGAAATGGAGTCTCTTTACAAGAACTCTGTTTGGGAGTTGGTTCCTAAGCCCAAAGACAGAAAGCTAGTTGGATGCAAGTGGGTATTTAGGAAAAAGGAAGGACTACATGAACAAGATGCCGTGAGATTCAAAGCAAGGCTCGTGGCTAAAGGGTACTCACAAAAGGAAGGGGTGGATTATGATGAGATTTTTTCACCCGTAGTTAAACATACTTCTATCAGATTGCTTTTAGCAATGGCAACTTAGTATGACATGGAGATTGAGCAAATGGATGTGAAGACAACATTTCTTCATGGGGATCTAGAGGAGACAATTTTCATGGCTCAACCAGGATTTGTTGAATATGGGAAAGAGAACCTAGTATGTCAGCTAAGGAAGTCCCTGTATGGCCTGAAACAATCTCCAAGACAGTGGTACAAGAGGTTCGATTACTTCATGCTGAAAATCAATTTTAGAAGATGTTTATATGACTGTTGCATGCACTATCATGTGTTCCAAGATGGGATTATCATATTGCTATTGCTATATGTGAATGACATGCTAATCGCTTTTCAAGACAAGTCTAGAATTCAAAACTTGAAGAAGATGTTGAGAGAGGAGTTCGACATGAAGGATCTAGGTGCAGCACAGAAGATCCTTGACATGGAAATTCAGAGAGAGGACTGCTGGAAGGATCTGGATATCACAAGCCAAGTATATTCATAGGGTTCTTGCGAAGTTCAACATGCAAGAAGCAAAGGTAGTTTTGACTCCTTAGGCAGCTCACTTCAAGTTAAGTGGGCAACAGTGTCCTAAGTCCGAGGAAGAGCAGCAATTAATGGAGAAGGTGCCTTATGCTAATGTCGTGGGCTGCCTTGTGTATGCAATGGTATGCACACGTCCAGACATAGCTCAAGCGATCAATGTCGTTTCCAAATACATGGCAAATCCAGGAAAACAACATTGGGATGCAGTCAAGTAGATTTTGCGTTATTTGAAGGGTTCTTGGGGACAAAGGATTATGTTTGAGAAGCAAAAAGAAAATGCAGGGGTGTTGGGATATGTGGATGCCGATTATGCAGGGAACTTGGACAAGAGAAGGTCAACTTCTGGTTATGTGTTTACATGCGCAGGAGGACCGATCAGTTGGAGGGCACTACTGCAACCAATTACAGCTTTGTCGACCACAGAGGCAGAGTATATTGCATTGGCCGAAGCTGGAAAGGAAGCAATTTGGCTTAGTGGCTTGATAAGTCAAATGGGAATCACCCAAGATTGTGTGAAGCTGAAGTGTGATGGTCAAAGTGCCATTCACTTGGCAAAGAATCAAGTTTTTTCTGGAAGATCAAAACACATTGAAGCAAGATATCAAAGAATCAGAAATTGGGTGGAGTTTAAGGAGATTTGGATTGAAAAGATTCATACGGATGACAATGCCGCAGATTTCCTTACAAAGATAGTGCCGACCAAGTTCAAGCCCCAAGAAGTTCAAGCATTGCTTGAACTTGGTCAATCTCGTTGATTGATTAAAGTGGAGCACCTCCTCACTTGAGGTGCAATGAGGCAAGAAGATTGCCAAGGTGAAGACTCTTGAAGATTTCCAGAATTGCTTCAAGGAGGTTCAAAGATATTCTAGGGTGCAACGATCAAGACTTGATTTGACTCACCAAGGTGGAGATTGTTAGGATTTTGGCTCGTCAAATATGTCCTAGTTGATTTAGGATTATTTTAGGAAAATTAGAGGTATATCGATTCTTGTTCTAAAGGGATTAGGAAAGAATTTCAATTTTCCTTATTCAATTTAGGTTTGGATTGCTAGAAGTCTATTTGGATTTGGATAAGTGTAATTTCCTAATCCACTTAGGAATAGGAATTCAATCAGCCTTGGGACATGTAAGCCAACTCTATGTCTATAAATAGGGTGCGGCTGGGCTTATTTTAGAGAGGAAAAACAACCAGAGACGGCCGAGAGTTTTGAGATTAGTTCTAGGGTTGCAAAAGTTCTGTAATCTCTATTATTAATCAAAGGAGCGGTGATTTCTCTCACAACTGGACGTAGGCAAAAGTTCTGCCGAACCAGTGTAATTCTTGTGTGTTTCTAAGTTTTCTGATATTTGCTAGTTTAGTCTATTGCATTCGGTTACATTAAAGAACAAGATCTAGTGTGCGGATTATTTAACATACAGTGAAAGGGCTCGCAAAGTTTTTTTATTTTTTGGTGAACTCAAAATTAAAATTACAAATCCAACCAAAAGAAAAAGGAAAAACAACCCATCCACGCAACTCCTCTCTTCCCTGACCATCGACAGAACGCAGCCACTCCAACCAAAGCCCCTCCTTAGATACTTAATGACTCCTGATTTGGTTATTGTTAATAAGGAGGACTCTTGAATAAAATTTTTTAAAAAAATACTGTTTGGATTAATGAACTACAGTCCGAAGTGGGCCCCAAAAAGTATCTCCATTTTTGCTAAAAAATGGGGTAAATCCCTGGACGGGCCCTGTATATAAATTCGTTAGCATCCTATGAGTATCAATCAATCGCTTGACACTGTCAAATGCCATATTGTTAATCTTCGAAATATTATGCCCGTTATAAGAACTACCCAAGTCAAATGTTTAAAATCTATCACATACAAAGTAAAAGTTTTGGTGCCACCACAGCCCTGTGTCATCTCATTTGTACCTTGGAAAACGAGAATTAAAAGGAAGCAAGAAGATGAAATTTGGAAGCTCTTTACGAAGAAAAAGAAAAGGAATACAAAAAACTCAAATGCTAAACCTTTCATTTTTACCTGCGAATAATGCTATACAGTTCTGGCCTAGCTTTCATCCAGTCAGCAAAACTGCTATAACCAATGGAACTAGAGCGGAGGGCTGCTCTCTCTGAATGAATGTACACGGCAAAGCATATAAGAAAGTAGTATCGTTCCAAATACTCCACGAAAAATGAAAGTGACGCCTCCCTTTTCATCTCATCTGGTTGGCGCAGAATACTATTGCGATAAGTGGCAATTGCTTCACGTAAGTTCTGTACTTGGATTCAATAGAAACATTTTTACTGAGATCAAAATTCTATGATAAAACATGAAAACTTTACCTTAGATTATACAGAGCAATAAAATCATACATTAAAAAAGAGAGAACAAACAAATCCAAAGTTTGACATGCCATACCATAAAGTTAAAGAAATGAGTAAAAAACTATACCTGCATAGAGGCGCACTTGTCAATAACTTTATCCACTTGTCTTTTGCCTTCAACACCACCCTAAAGACATGTTGTTGATTAACAAAATACTCGAGAATACATTAACTGTTCTACTATAACAATAACCAACAAAAGAAGAAATCAAATACCTCTAATACTCGAATCAAGCTTCTTATGACTGCATATTCTCCTCTACGAATCGCATCTTCTGAGTTTGGAAAATTGTCAGTGACAATTGCACTGGAGTCAGAAACTTTCCCGATTGAATTGGTTCTCGGAATACCTATTTCATTTGAAGATAATATACAATTAAGAAATCCTTTAAAAACAGAACCAACCGCACATGTAAACCAATAAAGGACTTGATCTAAATTAAAGTCACCATAAAAACAATAATTCTAAACATTCCAGGGACTCTTAAAAAAATCCATCATAAAATGCAGAAAATAGTTTATTTTTTAAATGGAGGAATCTGCTAACTTTCGGTATTATCTCGGGATTGAAGATTTTTATTTTTATTTTTTTTAAATGAGAAACTTTTATTGCACAAAACAAAGCAGAAATACAGGAACAGAACAGGGGTGGCCAAGGGAGGCCACACAAGCCCTAAAACAAAGAACACCACCTTAACAGCCTATCACATTACAAAACTAACACTATCCAATCCAAATGAATGAAAACTGAAGTTAATATCCTTAAATACTGAAGAAGTTGATGCCCACAATGATGCCCAAAAACGAAGCCGGTCCCAAAGCTAGTAGATCTTGTCACCCTTATCATCATAAAAAATTCTCTTATTCCTCTCCATCCACACCACCCAAAACACAGCCATCATAGCACACCATCCTCAGGATTGAAGATTAATAGAGGCAAGTGTTTAATGACAGGGATAAATGCACGGAAAGATATGAAGTATTTGGGTTCATTGCTCAGAACCAATAAAAAAGCAATTAGCCTTTGGTATCTTGTTGTGGTACAGGTAGAGAAGAGGCTAGAATCCAATCAGTTTTAAGCAGTGTACCCATATACTATCTTTCGCTTTTCAAGATTCCCAGTAATGAGACGAAGAGATTATTAGAAAATGTTTTGTGGGAGGTGGTGGAAGAGGATAAGGAATCCACAATCCACTCTTTTTTTTATTTTTTATTTTATTTTTAAAAGAAACATAATTTTATTAAAGTAAAAATTCTAATTACAATGAGTGGATAAGGAATCCACAATCTAGGATAGAACAAGTAAAAACAAGAAATTACAATGATGTAAAATAGAACACGATCACCGAGCAAAAATTCTAATCTCACTTTACAGCTGCTAACAAATCCAACATAATAGAAGAATGAGCATAATCCTTAAAATCAGCCGAAACCGATGCCCATAAAGCTGCCCAGAACCTCACTCTATCCCAAAAATCATTTACCCATGCGACCTTTTAATCCTCAAAGATTATTCTATTGCGCTCCAACCAAATGTTCCAGAAAACTGCCAACAACAAACAACCCCCATAATGTTTTAGCTTTCTTCTCCCTTCCCAAAGACACAAACTTTGTACTCAGAAGCTCAAAGCATCCTTTTGGAATAACCCAGCTAGCTTTAATCTCCCTAAACAGTTTTCCACCACAATTGTAAAGAATAAGGGCAGTGTAGAAAGACATGATCCACACTTTCCTCATCAGATTTACATACATAGGGCACAGCATTGAGGAGACAAACAAATAAAAGGCCTTCTCTTTTGAACTCGATCGCAAATGTTAACCTTGCCAAGAGCCACCTGCCATGCTAGAATTTCCACCTTTGGAGGTGCTTTTGAATTCCAAATCTGAGAATAGGGTGTGAATTCCTGCAAGTTTCCTCTGTTGGAAAGGAATGTACTTCTTCAACCAATGACTTAAGTTGCACACAGCTCACTACTAAACTCATATTTATCTCGCCTTGGAATTATACTTTCCTTATCCCCTATGGATGTTGCATCTGAGCCCTACATTTAAAACGAAACTGGTGAGCCTGAAAAGCACTCTGAAACAGCACCTAGAGCCTTTCTCCCTGTGTCTACATCACGCTATAGCTAATCAAGTTTGTCCCCTACAATTTAGTTTCAAATTATTTTGATGTCCATTTAAATAACTGAGTCATCATGGTCCAGGTTGTAGAACTGGCAACGCCTCTAGTTTCCTTAGCATAGATGTACACGAATAGAGAGGCTTACACCAGGACTAACCTTTGCTCTGATGTTTTATTATTGTCTTCCAATATCAGGAAAAATTATAACTTGAAAGGGGAGGGGTGGAGAGCAGAAGAAGGAGAATATGAGGAAATCGTACATTAGAATAGCACAAATAAAGTCCTTCTAAAAGACACAGATTGACCAAATTAACAAGTTATAGAACAACAAAACTCCTTAGGATGACCAAAAATGAGTCAATTTAGTAGAAGAACTATTTGAGTGAACAGAGTAAGAGGATTACCGGAAGCTCCTATACGGTTGAGGTATATCAAAGTTGCTATCACCATTCCTGTTGTAGTTCGCCCACGTCCCATTTGGCAGTTAAAAATTATTTCTGCATTTATATCAGCTTGAGAAATTTTATGAACCTGAATACAAAGAATAAAGAGTAAATAAAGCACACACATCAGCAAATGTAATTCAGGAAGGTGATAATATTCCATGACCACAATACCACAAAAACACTTCAACTCTAGGAGTGCAGCTCAATTCATGGGTATGCCAAGAACTAACCCACTCCGACCAATTTAGGTTGTTTGTTCAGTTTCTTTGGCCGTTGGGTTGGTCTTGGCTCCCATCTTCTTGGACCCAATTGTATCGGGTCTGGTCCCAGGTTTTACCTGACCTGATCAGAATTGTGCTACATATGCTGTTCGACAAAGAAATATTGAAACTAACCAAAATATCAAAATCCAGCTCCTTGGGTGATTTTTCATCAGTTATAGGGACACGTTCATAGTCAACAAGGTATCCTTGTACTTGCAATTCCTCGTAAACCTACAGAGTAAGAACCAAAAAGTTATATTGAGAAAACTGGTGGATTACACTTGTTTTCTCATTCCCTATGATAGTTGTTCCAATGAGGATACCTCTAGCGGTGTCGTCACAGAATCCCGTGACACTGGTTCCCATTGATCCACCATCTGACCATCTGGTAGTTCGTCAGTGACAAGGATCTTATTCCCATATCTGCTATTTCAGATGTGCAGATAATGTTTAATATCACAGAAAGCAGGAGTGAGAAAATGTTAAAGATTATGGCGCACAATTTGTAACATAACAAGGGTAAATACAGGGTACCCGAAGGAGATACCTTGCAGCTTCAATTAAAATATCTTCTTTTAATCGGGCTTCCATTTGTTCAAGCCTAGCCCTGTTAATTCCCTGATTGTTTATAAAGACACAATCAATATAAAAGCAAACAGAAAACATAACTTATTAGTAACATGCTGATACGTGTGTACAGCTACACGAGCATTGGAATACAAATAGCATTGTGCATGTACTATAACTAGCCAACCCCTACCTTACCACCAAACCCCAAACAATACAACAACAACAAAAAAACTTTAATATTCTCCCAATCAAGTCAAATATTAGTATCATAAGAAGATCGCTAAACTACACCATCCTCAAAATTCAAATTAATGTATAGCAAACTAAACTCTTTATAGTATATTAGCTAATCCAAGAAAATGCAGTCATTCATTCTGTATTTTTTAAGTAATTAAGCAAGAATTTAATAATAATATAAAAGATATGCCAAATTTCATAGTAAAGTTACATTAGCAAAGCATACCGTATACTCAAGGTTGGAAAAGGGCCTCTCCACGTCACGCAAAACAAAAGGGCGCCCATTAATATAGACCACCTGTTTGAAGATAAAGAGTAACTTCAGAAAATGCAAATTCTCAAGGATAAAAATATTGGCCACCATATCTCAAGTAAAATTTCAAAATCAGAATAAGAGATTTTGCAAATCTAAAAGTACGTTTATACACCGAACTAAGAAGTGAGACTAGAATATTAGATTAGTCCTATGTTTGGCAACAGATTGAACTAGATGGCTAATCTAATCCCTAAAGAAAACAAAAACAAAAAAACAGACAGACAGACATACACCCGCATACAAGAAAAAAGGCTTAAGTGGGGTTATTTTGACCAAGAGACCAACCATCTTCAGCAAGACTTCAACTCATTCATACTGGAGTTTCTCTCTCCAATTCAGCCCTGTCAAGCCCTAGCTTTCTCTAACTCTCAGTGATGCTCTTTGGTGAGGTTAAATAGGACGCTTCTCTCTCTTCTTCCATCCTCTATACATTTCTTTCTAGTCTGAAAATTTTGTATTACTTTTTTATTTTTTCTTACTATTTCTTTAAGCTGGATATGTATGTTTGGTTTATTTCTTGCATGAAAGCTTGCTATGGATGTTTGGATGATTTTGGTTGGGAATTGGCTTACATTTGTGTGTGGGTATTTTGCTAGTATTCTGTTGGGTTTTCTGTTCTACGAGTCTGTATTCATGAGGTCCAAATGTCTATGCAGCTTAATTAAATATTTTTCTAAAAGGTTGAATTTACAGGTCTTTTTAATAGGAACAGGACCATTCATTGACAATAATAAATAGTACAAAGTTAGTGAAGATGCATCAAGACACATTATTGCAGGAACACATAACAGCTGCTTTCCAATCTGATACAATAACAGAGGAAGATAGCTTCCCAAATGCAGATACAGATGCCACAAAGAAGACCGGAAGTGCACCATATCCCATAAACACTCCACCTCCTTGCCGAGAGCATCTCAAAAACTCTCCTATTCTTTTCAATCCTTAAAACCAAGAAATTGTCACCACAACGCATCTCCCAGGAACTACACCCCTTTCCTTTCCACCAAAAAAATTAAGTTTCTCACTTAATAAAGCCCTGCACAACTTCGGAATAGACCAACATAAGCCTGTCCCCTTAATTAACTCGACTTTGACTGAGTTTACAGTTTCGTGGTATTACCTACATTAGGCAGGCATAACAATTATGACTTCAGGTTCATGGTCATGATTGTGTGTCGTTTTCTTTAAGTCACGTGCTATGTTGCACCTGCAGTTATAATCATATTTCTTTTGAAACGAAAAGTACATAAAAGAAAAGAACATTTATCCAACAATATACTGTTCTCCAACAATATCCATCTAGCTTAAGAAACCAAAACTAATCATGACACTGTCACTTTCCAATCTTCAAAATAGGAGATACAGAAGAAAAAATAGCTGACGCAAACTTCACCTTCTCCCACAACACCTCCACTTCCATCGCCCTAACACCTTCAAAGATCTTCTGATTCCCTGCTGACTAAACACCCAAATAAGGGCTATTTGTTATCCAAACTATCAAATTCTGATGTTGCATTCAGAGTTATTACCCATTACTATCTATATTGTAAACGCTAAGCATTGAATATCCATTATCTAGATTGAAGCTCATGTAAATTATTTCTTTAATTGTATAATTTAAAGATTTAAGATGTTTTGCCTAGTGTTGATGTCAAACCCGTAACAGGTACTATAAGTCAATTGGTATGTTGTTCTGCTGCTGATTAAAGAGGAGACAAGCAACATGTGCAATTGGTCATCGGTTTAACTGTGGGTTCCCACACTGTAGGAGGAGCAGAGGTAACTGAGTGTCCTCACTCATTCCTTATATTGATGGAAGTGCAATTTGAGAAATTTTGTATAATGGCCCAAAACTTTTATTTCTTGTATTTACTATTTTGGATATGAACACAAATCTATGTATTGCTTACGGCATATGCATTCTTATCTTGGAGTGGTAATTAATTCATTTGCTTGTAATGAATTGAATTTATTGTGATTTAATTTGTGGGATTTGCACTCTCCCATCTTTCAACCTCCAAAACTGATGATTTTATCCTCAAAAATTAATTTCAATATATCTTTTAACAAGAACCTCAATCTATACTTTATTATTAAAAAAAAATTTAAAGACTTGAAACTATATATGAAAAACTGATATTAAAATAATCACAGTTCAGTTTGAAAATGCACCAAACACAGAACAGTACTATATAGGTTATCTACTTTACTAGCCTGACACAGCACCAAGAGTTGTATTGTACTTGGTCCAGTCTCCAACCTGATCGAATCCAGTCCCAAAAACTAGTATTGTCCAGTCAAATTCTACTCGCTAGATGGGCCTCTCTAAGTCTTTAACCTCTAATTAACGTGATATGTGGAAAAATTAATGGATAATCTATTTACTCTAATGATTTGTTTTTAAGACTCTAAGAATATATATAATAAAATTATCTAGTCTCTGTATGCTTACTGCTTAAGTACCAATGCCTTTTTTTTTTACCCTGGAACGGATGGAACGCTTGACCTATCCTAATACTAACCCGTTTCCCCACCCCCTACACCACCTGGGCTCACCTTAATGCCAATTGGATTTAAATCTTAAAGATACACTTATGTAGCTCTCACTCCCTATATTGTCAAATTGTCAACAAAAACAAAACAACAACATATTAGAGCTATAATTGTCTAGAACAACTATGAATACTGCAGCATCAAATAAGACTTCATGTGAATAATGCTATACAGTTCTGGCCTTGCTTTAACCTTGTCAGCTGAACTATGTCAAAATGGAACTATCACTGAGGGTTGGCCTCTGTGAGTGACCGCAGCCCCTCAGACCCCTTTCCTTATAAATCTAATGCCTTTAACCCCATTCCATACATACTTCAAAATCTATAATGAACATCCTTTTTTAGCCCCAAAAAAAAATTTTCAACAAAATCCCTGATTCAAGTCCTAAAAATTTCTCCATACCAAACCATCCTCCAAACAACCTAAATACTTAAATTAGCCAATGCTCAGAATTCCTGTAAAAGTCCAAATCAAACCATTAACCCCAAGCTTTGTACCATCCTTTACACGTCATCTCCACATTCTTTCTTCAAGGATTGCCCACCACATAAGAATCACTGCGGAGGAATGCACGGTCTACCAAAACTATCTTACGTATCATCAGTCAATTTGTACTTGACACTCCATCCATGGCAGGAAAAATAACAAATCAGACAGAACACACCAATTGGCATAATGGGCAACATTGATTACTACAATAGGCAGAATTCAGTGAGAGGATGCAAGTTAAGTGCTATTACTTGATTGTTAGTGATGCAGAATGCAAAGGACCTAAATTGATTAGTTTCCTAATTTATTTGTTAGTTTCCTAGATTCTCTAGTTTTCCAAATTCTAGTAGGATTTCTACGTTTCCTATTTTATTTGGGTTAGGATTTCTGTTTTAACATGGGATTTTTATCCTATTATCTCTAGGTTTTAGTTTGCTATAAATACCCCATGTAGTTCGTTAAAATTCAGATTTGGATATTGAATAAACCCTCTCTTAAAACTCTCTGATTTCTTGTCTTTTCTTCTCGGTTCTCTGAATTCTGTCCTTTCTTTCATCCCTTCCATCTATCTTTTCTTCTCATCGGCCCCCTATATTCTTCTTGGTTCTACTGTTTCGAGTGTTTAATCATACCCCTAGGGGCTGTGCTACAGCAGTTAGGCACCATTTTATTTTATTTTTTGAAACCCAAAACTCCACTTTGTCAGCTTTGCTGATGCAGCTTCCAAACTGGGGCCCACCGCCAAACTCTACAATCTTTGGGGGCAGAAAACACAAGCAAATTGCTTGATAGGTACCTTGATGAGTGTCGAACCCCTGACCACATCGGGGCCCAACTAGTCCCAACACCACTGGACTCACAACTCATTGGTGATTGTTAGGCAAGATATCATCATAAAACTAGCAGTTGAACTAACTCAGCTTTTTGATTGTTAATAGCTCTGCATGTAATTTATAGCTTAGGTTTCTTGTTTATACAATAATTTTCAATTATTAATTCCCAAAATTGCATCTAGTTCCAAACTTGGGCTACAGCAGTGTTTGAGATTCCTGAAATTGCAGGCCCCTTCCCTTATAAATGAGTAAAAATGCTGTTTTTGATACAAGAATAATTTAATGTTTCTATTATTGACAATCAGAAAGACCATAGACATTTTACAACTTAAATATGATGCTAGTTGATAGCACCAATGTATGGTGCAAATTTCCAGTATAGGAAGGAAAGAAATCAAATAGTGACAGGTAGAAAGAGCATGATAACATATTAACTTACCGGCTCCTCGCGGAGGTTAATCCAAAGAACTTGTGTTCGCTTCCCATCAATTTGTTGAGCTCCAATATGGTTAAGAACATTCTGGATTCCATCGACTGTTGGAATGGCAACACCGTGAACATGTAGCGAATCAGCCTATTAAAAACAAATCAAACAATGAAAGATAATGAGCTGGGAAATGATGTGTGAGAGTGATTTACAGAATTTTCCATGTAAAACTCAAGTTGCATTAACACATATGCATATAAGATGCAGCAATGAAAATATGTGAACCTGATTAAGGATGGATTTAAATACCAGAGAACATGGAGATTGATAACAAAGTCTGACGATTATATGCATGTCAAGTGAAGTTGTAAATTGGTTCACTAAAAGCAACCATAGAGTGGTAAATCCCCTTTTCACTGGTCAATCTAACAAAACTGTGTTCACAATCACTAGCAAAAGATAGACACGCACAGAAAAACAAGCAACGCTTAATAGGTTATTGCTATATTGGTTAACTTTGCACGGGATAGTGTTACTGATAAATGAAGTGTAAATAGAAGCAGGCATGTCAAGTGGCAAGAGAAAAGGGGCAACACAAAAAGTAGGAAAAGAATGCGTATGATGGAGCAATGTCAGAAAGAAAGAAAGAGCCACAGTACTACCTGACGGTAATTGGGAGCGCCATCGATCTGGGGAGACAAGCGTTTGTTCTGGCAGCCTGGGAAGTGGTCGCTCTTGAGAATGGTCTTCTTGCCCAGTACTGATCCTCCTCTTAGCTTCATCACCTGCTCCGGCTCCTTGGGTATCGACATGGCTCATTTATATTTATTTGCTCTAGTTGCTTTATACATATATATATATAGAGATAATTCCGCTCTACTCAAGTCTCAAAACACGCAAGCAACCGATTTCTTCTATATAAAAAATCTCTCTCAGTCTCTCATCTACTAGGACTTGTACTGTTGATTGATTAAAAACTATAGTAATCTAGTTAGTCGTCGGTGAAAAATTGCCCTCGTCACACCACACCACTGGACCACACCCAGCAAGCAAGGGCAAGCAAGGGAGATGATAACGGTGTGATTGGATATGAGTCTATCTATAATTTGGAAAGAAATTGAGAAAAAAAAGGAAGAAAACCCAAAAACCAAAGAAATCTGATACTAGGGTAGGATAAGAGCTGGATTCTTAATTACCTCTAATTCTCAATTCTCATCTCATCCATTCCACTGCCAATTAATATTTATCTATCTTTCTCTCTTTACTAACGCAAAAGCCCTTTTTGCCTTTGTGCCTTGTGCCTTCCTTGTGCCTTTGTGCCTTTGTGCAAGGGTTCAGGGATGACGATGTTCTTCTAATAAAGCCTTCTGTTCTATGCGTCAGTGAAGTGGGGCAAAGAGTCGCCGAGGCCCCTCCTCCACCTCGATCCTGAGTCCTGACACAAAACGTGAAAAGCGTGTTTTTTCCTTGTGATAATTGATTAATTTCCTTTCCCAACCCAAATAATATATATATAATATATATAATATATTTATTTTCCTTTTTCTCTTTATACATGTATTTATTTTATTTTTCTCATTTCATTTCCTAAACAGCACCATGTATGGGTATGGCTTACGTTTAAGATTTTAAAAAAGAAACGGCTCTCTATTTTCCTTTCCTTTTTCATTGTTGGCTTGCACCAAGGGAGGGTCGATCATGTTCATGTACGTACATGTTACATTCCCGAAGACTTCAGAGATGAGGGGATGATGAGATGCGAGGCCCCTCACCTAGGAAGGTTGAAATTAGTTTGTGGTTGTTGTTGGACAGATTTTGACCCTAATTCTTTCATTGGTTTATCCAGGAAAACTTTGTTAGGATTTCTCATTCGTCTAAATGATAAAGTCAGTGAATTTTCCGCGATATTGCATGTAGCAACCCACCCACAATCAAAGTCTTTCGTTTACTCTCGGATCTCTTCAATTGCAAGGTTTCGATGATGTTGATTGGGACAATATCAACCATTAGACATATTTTAGTCCAGTGGACAAGATTAGTAGTTACATAACAGATTATGTTTAGCTTTAGTTTCTCTTCATTACACGTGTAATTATTGTAATGTTTGATTACAGCCTATATCTCTTTTACTAATTCTGTTAATAATGAGAAAATCACCACGATAACACCAACATGAGGAGCCAAACATCCCGCCAAATATTCGTGGAGGCGGTATTCATAATCTGCTTTCTAGCATTTCTTAAGTTTGTATGCCACGACTGGTTGAGTAGTTCGCGAATACCTGTCGAGCACTTGGAACAAATTAATTCATTAATTAAGACCAACAATCATTTGTTGGAGAAATTATAGAATGAGACTATACTACCACATGACATATTTTGAATGAAAGTATTACCAGCTAACGTGGTAATATAGTATCATTCTATAATTTCTCCATTTGTTGGTCAAAAAATTTGAGTTTTACTTTCCAGCTAGAAAAGATGGTTCTTTCGTTCATTAAATTGGAAAATACAATCTCACAACCTATTTAGTTGCAAAGATTATACACAATCGCAAGCTAGCAAATCTCAGTTTGCATACACCCTTGCAATAGCAAGGGACAAATATTGTGAGATCAACAGATTATGTAAAGGACGCATGGCTGTGAGATGTCCACATTGCTGCCCCATTTATGTATTTATTTAGAACATGAAACAGCGCTCCCTACCAAGACCAGTATCAACTATAATAGTGGTATACTAATACTAATAACAGTGTTTCACACTATCGCACTTTGTAGTTGGTTCATACTAGATATAGAAAGATCCATCTCAAATTGAAACATCACCCACAACAGCATCCACACTCGCAACTTCCCTTATAAAATTTTTCGATGAAGGCAAACCAGCAACCACATCCTCTTCAATTCCACACTCGTTTGTTCCTCTTTTGATCATGAAGTAACCATCCTGCATACCATTCAGAATTAATTTGTGCTTCAGGGTATGAAAAGGCACAAACATATGTTATCTATTAACTATTTAAAAATAATAATTAATGGAAACATACGTCACCCCAGCCTCTGTTCCACTGATTTGCGAGAAGCTGAAACACAAGAGTAAATGGTCAACAAGTAGTCTCAGAAAAATTCTGTGGTTGCACAAAACACCAGCGTATCAACATACCCAATAGTCCTCCCCAGCATCGGTTGTCCCCCACCCAATTAGCTTAACAGCATGACCTCCCAATGCATCACCTTTAATATGTCTGTAAACTCCTGATTTATAGTGTGCAAAATCCTGTAAATAGTTACAACAAAATAAGAAATGGATCAAAGTCTATTCTGCGTTTAAAATGTCATTATCTTGCAACTGTTCATCAAAGTTACTAATACATATGATTGGCACTTTGCATGTCATTTGACAGAAAAACCAACTAATATGCGATATCACATATGCACAACAGATCGTGTATGAGTTTATCCTAAATAAGTTTATGTTACAGGGTGCTCAAGAAATTGACAGCAAAGATAAGGCTTCTTAAAATGGGCATATAATTGTTTATGCAAAGTGATCACGCCATGTTTAAATGTAGTTGCTTGAATCTGCTTGCGCTGAAAGTAAGTACAGTTGTGGTGCTCATTACATTGTCACGGTCAGCTCACATATACCACTAACTAGTGAAAAGAGAGGAATTTCAGGGCTCTACGAAGAAAGCTTTAACCATATAGGTGATACCACACCCACCACCCCTCCTCTTCCCCAAAACCCATTATTTTTTTTTAATATGAATGAGAATTGTGGGAAACTATACTTGAAAATGCAATTTGATGATTTCAAGTTTGCCTGGCCAGCAATATATTAGCAGTTTAGGACTCCTCGTAGACAGATAAACATGAGAAGAGGGCAAATAATATTTTATAGTCTCTCATATATTGCAAATAGAAAAGAAAAAGAAGAGAGCCACATCCTCATAAGTTGCAGTACATTCAATTATGAAACAAGAAATTACCTCGTAAACAGTGAAGGCGACCTCAACTGGTCCATTACTATAAACCTCTGCCATGATACTGTGGGAATCAGAATTGATTCTATATGCATTGATACTATAACGCTTTAAATTCTTCCATAGCTGGTTTTTATCTGCACACTTTTTAACACACTTCGGAGTAGGATATGCGGGCTCACACCCAGGGTGTGAACAGCCAGTTGGATCGAAGTATGGGTCACACTGCCAGATGGAATACTTGTCAGGACTTCATGCAGTATTTAAAAGGTATGCTTTTTATGAACCAAACGAAAAAAAAAACCTCAAATTTTATATGAAACAGTACTAGCGCAGAAGAAAATGGACAGACTTACACACAAACCCATTTGGTTTAGGTAAACACAGGGACATCTCTCTTATTTTTTGTTATTAAATTGAGCTCCCTGGTTAGGATAATGAACAAAGAAATTATTCCTAAGTTGAAAGAAATACTTGCAATTCATGAGCACTGACAATCATTCTACCATTGGAGGAAGACTACGCTTTTAGGGCCGGGTTGGAAATGGTTCTTAAGTTGCAAGAAGGCCTGCAGTGCTAAGGTAAGCACTAGATATCATTCCAACATTGAAGGTAAACTTTGCATTTCGGTGAGGATTAAGATTGGTACTGATGGAGAGACTAACAATGGAACCCACAGGCTTTGGGTAAATACAGGGACCTCTCTTGTTTTCTGTACTTTTGACCTCCCTGGGTAGGGTTAGCTAACAAATTTTCCTATGTTGCAAGAAAGACTGTAAATTCTAAGGTGAGCTGTGAAAATCATTCTAACAATGGCGGAAGACTGCTTTTGGGGCAAGGGTTGGGGTCACTCTTATGTTGCAAGAAGGCTTGCAATTCTAAGGTGAGCACTAAGATATCCTTTCAACATTAAAGGTAGACTTGATTTTGTGTAAAGGTTAAGATGCGAAGGTAACAATGTTTTTGTTTGAAAACCTTTTTCTATTATTCTTTCTGGATATCACTGGCGCCCTCCTCCCCCTCCCCCAATCTGCCCAAATTCACACAATAAAAAAGAGAGAGAAGCTGTGTTTAATATAGTTAAACAAGGACTTGGTACCTCTTCAGTGACAACAGCATGAAGAGAGAGAGAGAGAGAGAGAGAGAGAGAGAGAATTTGTGTTAATATGCTTAACAACAAGAACTAGCTACCTCTTCAGTGACAACACCGTGGTGGACAAAGTATCGCCAAGCATAAATTGGATACCCCCCATCACAACCATCTCCACACATGAAACCACAACACGCTAAGAGATCATTAACAGAAAGTGATATGTTCTGCAATAAAGCATAGAGGATTAATTTTTTTTTTTTTTTTAAAACACAATATATAAAAGGAACATTTACATTAATGGAATGAGAAACAGTGAATTTGTTATCAATGAATTTCAGTTACCATGCCAAAATGGATGCAAAAACGGTCTGATAGTGCTTCAACAGCAGCAAAAGCCCAACAAGAGCCACAGTGACCCTATATTTCCAAAAAGCAAACTTTCCATGAATTTCCGGAATTAATTTATTGGACAAGATATCATGGAGACGTATGTGAAAATTATTACCTGATCTTCATTAAAGAAATTAATCCAGCATTTGACATAAAAATGAGAAAGCATTAGCATCTTCTGTCTTTTAAATCAAAGAAACACTGAATAACAACATATAAATGAAAAGTAGCAGGTAACCTAGAATTCTTCCAATTGTGTTGCACTGAGGCCAAGCTGTTCTTGCATCAAAATTAGTTGGCAACTTCAAAGATTTTGGATGAGTTAAAATAGGAAAACTCTGAAAATCCTTTCGGGGTGTTGGTTTAACTCCCAGAAGGTGCATAAACTGGCTAACCTGTGCAATGAAAAGGAAATCTTGGGACCCAGGAGTAATATTAAAAACTGATTTATGCGTTTGTATGGCAATAAAAGGGTGGGAAAGTCCTTTCAACTCGACCATAAAGAAGACCCTTCCGGTTGAAGACTCACAGTGTAATTGGAGAATCGGGGATTCATGGCAGCTTCCCATCCAGCCATGGGGTTGTCATTTATCTGCTTAATGATTGAGTCCTGCTTGGCCATGACAAGAGTCAAAAGGATAATATTATATTCTTTCACAATTAATATTGGAATGGAATTCTCAGTTATTATTCCCTCCCCACTGTGTATGTGTGCGTAACTACTTCCATTGCAATGACTTACTGATCATATACAGCAAGCAAAAGGGAATACCTGAAGAATACGAGAATTAAGCTTACTCTTGGTAACTGGTTTGGCTGCAATGAACTGTGGAGATGATCAACCGTTAGTTTTCTTTCTGGTCAGCAACCATTAGGTTCAATAATGACTTCTAAAATGAACGTAGAGAAAACAAGTTATCCAACCAATTGACATAAACACAGAAGAAGATTAAATTGGCCTCAACTACTGATTTTAGACATTAACACACACAAGCAGCAG